ACACCCTGAAATGTCGAGAGTTTTACATTTCTCCAGGACTAGTAATAACTCATTCTTGGAACCTTGATTCAAACCTACATATCCTAACCTTCAAATATTCCATTAACTAGTGTTAAAAAGGAGATTTCTGGGCTTCCCTGGTGACGCAGTGGTTGAGAGTCTGCCTGCCGATGCAGGGGACATGGGTTCGTGCCCCGGTCCGGGAGGATCCCACATGCCGCGGAGTGGCTGGGCCCGTTAGCCATGGCCGTTGAACCTGCGTGTCCGGAGCCTGTGCTCCACAATGGGAGAGGCCACAACAGTGAGAGGCCCACATACCACAAATAAAATTTTTAAAAAAAGGAGATTTCAGCGTGTCACTTTAGATATCTGTTAATACAATGTTTATAACTCTATCTAATTACTATATTTTATGTGGGTAATTTGTAAAAATTCTATACTCATTGATCCTCTTCCTGACTACTTATGGATTTGAGATGTTATATTATGAATTGACATTTTCCATTTTCAAATTGAGAATTTTGTTACGTGGGATTCAGACGTAGGGGTATTATCAGAGGACCATTAAATCTTTTTGTTCATAATTTTACTTAGGTTGTTCTACTGACTTGGAAGTTTTTTGGGAGTTTTGATTAACAGGACTAATTTGCAAAGGTCAGTGCTGAAGCAGATTTGTTTTTGTTTGCTTTGTACATAAACACATATAAAATATATAAATATATTCATAGGAATACACACATACCTACACACACACTCATATATCACTGTAAGACAGCAAAATACACTTAGTGATTTTTTTCTTAGCTTTTATTTACTCACTAGAAGCATGATCTGCTTTCCTGAGAACACAATATAAACAAAGTCTGCCTCACAGTTACCTCATAACGATCTGCTCATCCTGCCCTTGGTAGTTGATCTATACTTATCAAATGCCTGTGTGTACAGGCAGTACTTTTGAAGTTGTATTCTCTAAAGAAAATTGACAGTGTTTCCTTTTTAGTTAGATGGATAGGCTTGTTTTAAATTACTGTACTAAAGGTAGGGATAGAACATGGCAGAGATTTTTATTTCAAAATTCCATATCCTTTTCCTAACCCAAGATTATTAACTATCTAAAACAGTTGGTAAAAGTAAAAGATACTAACCATTTTTCTTTAGATAGAAGGTAGGTATATTGGTCCATTAAACTCAGGCTTGCAATATATGTAACTTTTTTTTTATAAATAAACTCTCTTAAGTCCTCTTTTGTGCCTCCATCCTAACAAGTACAGAAAAATTAATCTCATCAACTATAACCTTTTTTTAAATAATAGCTGGTATTTATTTGGCCACGTGACATGCGGGATCTTAGTTCCCTGACCAGGGATCATTTTATCTTTATTTTCACCACTGAGATGTCCCAGTTCCCTGCCCGATCATTGGCTATTGGTTCATATAGATCTCTGCAACATCCGTCCTTGTTTCAAAGCCTTTTCAAAGTCTGACAGTTCCCTGGACCTTGTCCATATTACTCTTGGACACATAGTAAATAGTCATCATCCCATCCATAGGGGACTTAGAGAGGTTGTCACAGGCTCAGCTGTGCAGACCCACTATGTGCACAGCTTCTCTACTGTTGCACATGTGGAATCTCCTGCTACTTCCTTGAACTCTACCCAAGAATGAATATAAAGGACTTCCCTGGGGGCGCAGTGGTTGAGGGTCCGCCTGCCAATGCGGGGCACACGGGTTCGTGCCCCGGTCCGGGAGGATCCCACATGCCGCGGAGCGGCTGGGCCCGTGAGCCATGGCCGCTGAGCCTGCGTGTCTGGAGCCTGTGCTCCGCAACAGGAGAGGCCACAACAGTGAGAGGCCCACGTACCGCAAAAAAAAAAATAATAATAATAATAATCCAATGGGACTTCCCTGGTGGCGCAGCGGTTAAGAATCCACCTGCCAATGCAGGGGACACAGGTTCAAGCCCTGGCCCAGGAAGATCTCACATGCTGCAGAGCAACTAAGCCCGTGCGCCACACTGCTGAGCCTGGGCTCTAGAGCCGTGAGCCACAGCTACTGAAGCCCGTGCGCCTAGAGCCCGTGCTCTGCAATAACAGAAGCCACCGCAATGAGAAGCCCACGCACCACAACAAAGAGTAGCATCAGCAGGCGGACTCTCCACCACTGCGACACCAGGGAAGCCCTGGATTATTTTTAAGTTTATCCCCCCTCCCACCCCACCCCTTGCCTTTTTCTTTTTTTTGGCTGTGCCTTGCAGCTTTCAGGGTCTTAGCTACCCCACCAGGGATTGAACCCAGGCCCTCGGCAGTGAAAGCATGGAGTCCTAACCACTGGACCTCCAGGGAATTCCCAGGTTTATCCCATTTTGATGATGGATGAATAAGTGTTCTACCATTCTGGTATCATTACTTATTCCAGAATGCAAAACTCCATTTATTCACGTAATACTTATGGAATGCTTATTCTGCAATAGGTAGTAGCCTAGGCTCAGCATGTGTAGAGTACATTGTAAACTCCTGGAAAAAATTCACATTAGGTACTAGTTGGTAACACAAGGGTATAATTTCTCACTTCTTCTTAAGTTTTTCCAATATCTTTCTGTCTACCCTAGCTTTATTTTTTTTAAAAAAAGAAAGCCGTAAACCATCTGCTGATCCCTGCCCCGTTTGCCTTCCTGATTCTTCTTCCACTCCCAACTTGCCTCATCACACCCAACCACACTGGCCTCCTGACATTACCGAAACATTTCCTTTATGTTCCCACTTCAAAATGTTTGTAATTGATATTCTCTCTGTAACACTTTCCCCTCAGATATCTGCATGGCCTATTCATACCTCACCTCTTTAAAATCTTCTCTCACCTCAACTGCGTTCCAAAGTGTGTCCTGACCTCTAGATATTTGTCCATAGTTGCCTTCTTGACTAGTATTTAGGGAGTGGGGTTTTGAGGCATACTCTTGCTCTGTTCTGTATTAAGAATTTAATATCAAATTTATTTATTAAAAAGAATACAAATGGTTAGGGAATAACTCAGCCTTTGCAAACATAAATTTACTTATCATCTTTGCAATATACACCAAAATTATTAAGGATGCTTAAATATTAATTGATTATTATGGTATTCTTTTCTTCATGATATTCAAAATCCTAAGAAATTAGGTGTTATGCTTTGGTGATAACTTGTGTTTTGTGCCAGATGCCAGCATGCCTCTCAGCTGTAGAACTATGAATCTGAAGAACTGATAGCTAATAGTTTTAACCACTGCAAATCTTGTATTTTAATACTATTTATCTCCCTCTGATGAGTAATTGACTGGTATCATTTCTCCTCTCCCAGATAGTTAAGATAAGGTTTTTGTGAGTACGTCTTCTTTAAAATCTTGTCCTGTGTTCTGCTCTGTCTACTTCACTAATATCTGTTTCACTGAGATTTAGTTCTTCAAAATACCTTGTTCTGGCAAGAGTGCTGTGAGATTAGCATTCTCAGTCACTGCTCATGGAAGTGTAACTCTTTCTGAGAATATGCATTAAGAAATTTAGACATGTTCATATCCTTTGATTTCATTTTTAGGAATGTAGCCTAAGGAAAATGCACATACTGAAGTATATACCTATCTCTGGGTGGTAGAAATTCTGAGATTATTTTCTTTTTCTCATTCTTTTCTGTTTCTTCTAGGTTTCTTTAATACTCACCAACTTTCCATCCTCTTCTGTCCTCATCCTTTTCTTTTCTCTATTTCCCCTCAGTACTTTATTGCTTTATTTCTCTTAGTATTAAAATGTATACAGAGGGAGAGAATATATGGGGAATCTCTGTCTTCTCATCCATTTTGTTTTGAACCTAAAATTGTCCTTAAAAATGAAGTCTGTTTTATAATAAAAATAAGCAAATAAATAGTATGGGATTTTAGGGACTTCCCTGGGTGGCACAGTGGTTGGGAGTCCGCCTGCCAGTGCAGGGGACATGGGTTTGAGCCCTGGTCTGGGAAGATCCCACATGCCGCGGAGCTGCGGGGCCAGTGTGCCACAGGTACTGAGCCTGCGCCCTGGAGCCCAGGAGCCACAACTACTGAGCCCTAGTGCCGCAGCTACTGAAGCCTGCGCGCCCTAGAGCCCGTGCTCCGCAACAAGAGAGGCCACCACAATAAGAAGCCCGCACACCGTGGCGAGGAGTGGTCCCTGAAAGCCACAGCTAGAGTGAGCCTGCACTCAGCAACAAAGACCCCAGTGCAGCCAAAAATAAATAAATTAAATTTAATTTAAAAAAATAGTATGGGACTTTAAATAAGTTTCTGTTGGGATGGTATTTGGTTCATTAGGAACTCAATAAATGTTTGCTGAATCATTTTATTGCTTTGACTAAGCAAAGGTTCTTCTTTTTATGAGAAAGCAGCCTCTTTGTGTTTTAAAGCCTATATCCTACCACCTAAGAATCAGGGAAACTACTGAAGTATCCAGAAAAAATGAAACATTTCTTTGGATAAATGAAATGTTTTAGGAACTAAAAGTGTTTTAAAATTAAAAATATTTTAATGCCTTCCCTTTATATGAACTATTAAATAAACTCTTAAAGAATCTTATTTGATATTTGTTTTAAAAACCCCTTCCTGAATTATAGGAACTGCATTAAATTAATTTCATTGTTAGATGGAGAGGACTGAAGTGTCCTAAAGGCTAGGAATTATATTGGTGCATGGGCAATCGAATTGTCACTATTCCTTAATGTACTTGTGCTGTTAAGATGCAATTAGTTGTGTATTTCTTTAACAGTGATACATGTAATGACTAAATTCCTGCAGATGTTTTTTAAAGTGTACTCTTATTTGGAGATTTTTCTTATTCCTCAGAAACTCAGTCTTTCTTGTTCGTTAATTATTTGAATTGTGCATTGAATGTCTTATTTTAGCTTATAAATTACCACAGTATTCAGGATGGTTATGCCCACATTCATTTTTTTCACTGAATGGATAAAAGTTGTTTAAATACATTTTCTTTCTCCTGCAGTGGTTCCCCCTGGAAGTCCTGGGCCCATTACTCGGCATGGGTCCTATGACAGTTTAGCTTCTGACCATAGTGGACAGGAAGATGAAGAGTGGCTGTCTCAGGTAAGACTCTGAAACACTGGGTCTATTAAAGTGACAGAAAACAGAGATCCATTAGCTCTTTTTTTCTTGAATTTTAAAAATTATTTTCCTTAGAGGAAAATGGGCAGAATTGGGATTTTTTTAGGTTCCCCAAGAAATAATCAATTGTCTTTCCATATTAAGAATTTCTCATAAATACTGCTGCAGGGATACATATATTTTATACACACACATATACATATGTATATATGTGTATACATTAGCGTTCACACAGAGAGCATAAAATATGCTATCTTTCAAACAATCCATTCATATCCCCCAGGACCTTGGATTTCAGGTGGACTGTTTGGATTAAAATAAGAATGGGCCTTGTTAAAACAGTGAAGCCTTTCAACAGTCTTTGGGCTTTTTTTTTGTGGAGGCAACAATTTCTGAAGATTGGGCCCATACTTTGATTACGAAAGTTAGGCATTCTAATCTACACAAGTGCCCGCCTGGCTTTCCTTTCCTAAGCTCCTGTAATGCCGCTTCTAGCGGTCTCAAAACCAGTCCTGTAACAGCTTCGACTGACCCTTCCTCTCCGTGCTAGGTGAAGCTGTCTTCATCTCAAGGGCTTTGAAATAAAAGATACTCAGGCAGATTTCAAAATGATGAGATTACAAGTGACTTCATTACAAATGCTGTTATGTCTGTCTCAAGTCTGACATCATTTGGTGAAGTTAATGACTGGTCTCAGATTACCAATCCAGCGGCTTTTCATCAGACAGGTGCCTCAGTGGAGGCCGGGTGCAGTTTCATTGCTTTCTCAGGGAAGGGAGCCCGAAAAACTAAAGGGAATCTGGGAACTGGAGAATCAAATTGTTTCTAGGTGACATACATTTCATCACACCAAAAATACTCCCAGGAAGATCCTTGAAGGATCTTGATGCATATGGAGATACATCATTTCTTGAGGATACCAGGATAAATTTAAAAAAAAAAAAAGAATGCTGGCAAAGAAACCACTGTCCTTCACTTCCACTTTTCAATTAGAAAAAGGGGTAATGTGTGCTGTCAGTGTGAAAGTATCTACAATATGTTTGTACTGCATACAACAGGAGAGTGAGCAGGAACATCTGGCCATTGCCTCAGTGAAATTGCACAGGCATCTGTTTACCTCTCGGCTCTGTGACACTGATGGTTTTGAGCTTAAAATACACAGAATGCTTTATCTGTGGCCTCATTTACATTGCTGAATACAACTTCTTGAATGAGAAATCACTGTCCTAAATCTGAGTAGTTTTCTCCCTGTGTTTGGTGGGAATGTGAATATTGTTCCAAGACCGTGATGCTTTTGCCCTTTAGGACTTACAAACACAGAGCTGCACTCCGTGAACCTTTTCAGTTACATTTTGTTAAGAATTAATCACTGCAATCAGAGAAATGTGATTAAATATAAAAGAACTCAGGGCAAAACTAAGGCACGTGGCAAGTCAGTTCCATAAAGTATGTATACAGACGTGGATGTAGCAATTACAAGACATTGAGAAATAGTGTTTTACCAAAGGTTTGCATATTTAGTCTCTTATTCAAGTCGCTCATTTGTAAAATCACATGTTTATTTTTAGGTTTTACCCTGTGTCTTACTCTCTGCATTGTCTAGTATTGGCAACATTCCATACCCCCTCCTTAGAGCATGAAATTCATAAAGCATTCTGTTATTACTGTTTTGCAGCATTTAAAATACCTATGTGAATGTTCATGGTAGTTGAGAAAACAATCTAATTAAGAAATGGTATTTTGAAGACAAATCTAGTTTGAGGGAAAATATATAGTCCTCTCTTACATTAAAAATGAAATTTGGAGGATTTTGAGGGCAGTAAATATTATAGTGTTTAATTGTGGAAAGAAACTGGCTTTGGGTATTAAATTATTTCAGACCTTTTCTTTTCCTTGGATAGTTCAAGAACAACTTCACATTTGTCATGAGCTTGGTCCTCAATGAAGGAATTACTTTTAATCTGTGGATTGATAGGTGTAGTATTCACTGCATGCCCACAAAGTGGTAAGTACTGTCTAGAATGAGTGAAAAACGTAGTCCCTAGGGAGCCAGTGCTCGGTATATGAGGCAGGCAACTGATCCTTTTATTCTCATGTGATTTTTGTGTTATATATGTGGGGTGCATGTGTGTGTGTGTGTGTATTTGTGTTTACATATACACACATATATTTACACATACACAAAACGAGTTTCTGGTATTGATATATTTTGGTGAGAACCTGTAGAGGGATGTAGTGAATGTCTCTATAGGTTGCTATTGTCATCACCTTTTTAAAAAATATATATTTATTTATTTATTATTATTATTTTTTGGCTGTGCCTAGTCTTAGCTGCAGCACACGGGATCTTTTGTTACGGTGTGCAGGCTCCAGAGCACATGGGCTCTGTAGTTGCAGCACACAGGCTCTCCAGTTGCGGCATGTGGGCTTAGTTGCCCTGCAGCATGTGGGATCTTAGTTCCCCGACCAGGGATTGAACCAGTGTCTCCTGCATTGCAAGACAGATTCTTAACCACTGGACCATCAGGGAAGTCCCTGTCATCACCTTTTGATTGTAGATGCCCTGTCCCTCTTCCACTTGGTTAAGATGGGCTTCTTGGAGAACGTGAGTGTTCAGAGCTGAGACTGGGGTGAGGGGGTGGATCATGAAAGGCTCTCAAAGGGAGAGCCTAATACATTTCAATCATGATTCCTAATCTGTTCCAGGTAGAAATTGTAACGCACACCGGACCCCACAGACGTCTGTGGATGGGTCCACAGTTCCAGTTCAAAACCATCCATCCCTCAGGCCAAACCACAGTCATATCATCCAGTTCATCTGTGTTGCAGTCTCATGGTCCAAGTGATACTCCACAGCCCCTTTCGGATTTTGATACAGATGATCTTGATCTCAACAGTCTCAGGTAAGAAATAAGAACTAGATAGTGATTTGAACACATTAATATGTTCATTTGTCATTAACATCTTAGATAATATTTGCATTTCCCCTTTTGACGCTGTATCACGTTGCAGAATACATGCAGTGTAACTTGTGGTTCATCATTATCACTGGGGATCTTATGTGAGATCTTATCACATCCAATAAATATTTGTGTTCTGGATTGTACTTCCCTAAATCTAATATTCAGTGTACTTTTTAAAGCCGTCTTATTTTATGATGCCTCTCTCATATTTCTAATATCTATCTCTTTATCTGTCTTGCTATATTTTCATCATATATATTCTCGATTCTTACTTGTAAGAATCACAGTAGTTTACAGAGTATGCTTTTTATTATTAGCATTTTTTTAATGTAATTGAGAACTTTTTGACTTTTGTGCTCTTCTGTTTGCTTAGCAGTTTAATTTGTTACACCAAGACTTGACACATTAGGACACAACAGACAGTGAAGGGCTCAGTCTAATGCAATATAATCTCCCTTTCCTTGTGTTCTTTTATAAAAGAATTCTACAGTGTATTTTTATTTGAATCTAAAATAGCCCTCTGACCTTTTTCGTGCATCTCTTTTTTAGAAATTGTGGAAAAATGTGTCCCAATCCTATGTTGGAAATATGTTTTTATTCTACTTCTTTGTCAACATTAATAACAAATCTTTATAACAATGCAAAAGCTGTTGCAGAGGTGGATTAGGCCTAGATATTTCTTGTTTAAGAATAACTCATATAATGAAGCATGTCTCCTGTAATACCTTTCTAAGTATTTTAGTTTTGTGTTTTTTTTTTTTTTATTGCGGTACGTGGGCCTCTCACTGTTGTGGCCTCTCTCGTTGTGGAGCACAGGCTCCGGATGCGCAGGCGCAGCGGCCATGGCTCACAGGCCCAGCCGCTCCGTGGCATGTGGGATCTTCCCGGACTGGGGCACGAACCCGCGTCCCCTGCATCGGCAGGCGGACTCTCAACCACTGCTCCACCAGGGAAGCCCACTATTTTAGTTTTTTATTTTAGTATTCTTTGTATTTTATTTCTTCCATACATTTTTGGTTTTTTTGGTTCAGTATATTTTCTTCAGCTTTCTAGAAGTGGCACTTCTCCCTAAGATGTGAGGCAATAGTGACAATACAGTGGGTGCTAGACCATTTTTCATAGGTACTAATTATAAAATATGATCCAGTTTCAGAAAGTCAAGTAGAGTCAGTCCTCAGCTTAGTGAATAAGTGCATATTCAAATGTTTTTATAGGTTATTTTGTTACTTAAATGTTAATAAAATAGACCCATAAAACTATGTTTATTCTCTTTACTAAAGTATTCACAAGATTCTCCCCCCACCTTTTTTTCTTTCTGTTGATTGTCACCCGCTACGCTGATAAGACCCTGTCCCTTTTCTTTGGAGGACATCCTCAGCTCCTGTATACACAGCTCTGTTCCTTTGGGTTTTTTGTTTGTTTCTTTTTTTGTTTATAAAGGTTTTTTTTTTGATGTGGACCATTTTTAAAGTCTTTATTGAATTTATTACAATATTGCTTCTGTTTTCTGTTTTGGTTTTTTGGCCACAAGACACGTGGGATCTTAGCTCCCCGACCAGGAGTCGAACACGCACCCCCTGCACTGGAAGGTGAAGTCCTAACCACTGGACTGCCAGGGAAGTCCCCTGTTCCTTTGTTTTTGACCTCCCCTAGCTTTCTTACCCCTTATTTCAGATACAGTTCTTCATTTAAAAGCTCTCTAACTTGCTTTTTCAGACAGAGCTTTATTCCTGAAATCCTTCCAGAAATTTCCTCAGGGACTTTTCTTTTTCTTATACTAAAGAGCTCCCGGTATTTAAATTGTTTCTGTCCTATTTGTTGGGAACATATAAATATTAGAAACCGGGCTTCCCTTGTGGCGCAGTGGTTGAGAGTCCGCCTGCCGATGCAGGGGACACGGGTTCGTGCCGCGGTCTGGGAAGATCCCACATGCCGCGGAGCGGCTGGGCCCGTGAGCCATGGCCGCTGAGCCTGCGCGTCCGGAGCCTGTGCTCCGCAACGGGAGAGGCCACAACAGTGAGAGGCCCACGTACAGCAAAAAAAAAAAAAAAAAAAAAA